CCCTCCCACCCAGTCGGACCACCAAGAAGTCTTCAGAGGACTGCTCTCACCTGGTGGATGACGTTTTAAGGTACGCCGACCAAGCGGCCACCAGAGTTGTAACTAAGTTCCTAGGACCTGCGGCTGACACTGACGGGAGGACAGCATTAAGAAAACCCTCCATTTCCTTCTCCTGCTAGATTGCTTTTGCTGTGGTCAGTTTTACTTGTCTTTCCTAGAAACACAATTTCCCACCCCACCCCCCCCCCAAAACCAACGATCAGTCTGTGTATACATTCATGTGACCCCCAAAACACAAAGAATCAAACTTCACGTACCTATACCAACAACTACAGCCACAGCGCCGCGCTGAAGCCATCGCAGCTGCCCAGGCAGGGGGTGCGCAGGCTGAGAGCAGCAGCCACGGCGTGCCACGCTCCAGCTCCCACACGCAGCACCGCTCAGGCTGGTTTTGGATACTCTCCAGGCTGCACTTGGTAATTTCCTGCCTCACAGGGAGAAGGTTTCTCTCTTACAGCCCAACTCTTCCACCTGAACAGGAAGACTCCTCTTAAATACAAGTTTTAGTTGCCCAGTATCATATTTTGGACATGTTAAAAGCAGCTTGGCAGGCATGTGTTGTTGGGAGGCTCCAGAATTTAGCCTGCTGTTGGATGTTGCCTCTCCATTTGATTTTCTTCTTAGGAAAAAAAAAAAAATTACTGTTGTGATGTTTCCCAGTTCAACTATTTCCAGTATTCTTACTGGACAGACATTTTGCATGGCCAGTAGGTACAATGCACGCAGTGTCCCAGGTTTACGCAGCTGCTCCTAAATGCCAAAAGCACTAACACAACATACAGTAACTACCCACTACCTTCTTCTAACTCTACTAAGATATTAAACAGCAATAGCCGTAGATCCCAGTCTCACCCATGGCTTGAGGGCTGTTGTTCACACAAGCACTTCTGTTTGTGTAGGCATCTTTCTACTGGGATTTTTTGGGACGTCCGCTCTATTCCAGGGCATGCTTTGATCCAGCAACAGTAGCACATGAGTAAGAAGTCCGTATCCTGTACACAGACCTTCTGGCTTTAGTCCCATGGAGAACAAAAAAAATGCCGCCTCCAGCTGTGGACAGGGATAATCCGCAAGGAAAGCGCTAGGAAGTAGGGCAGCCAATGCTGTTAAGCCCAGGAGGTGTTGGAGAAACTGGCCAGTGAGTACTAAAGCACATTTAGTCCTTCCTTGACTGAGCTAGAAAATGCAATGATGCCTTCACACCCGCTCCCTACACCCCCCACCCCCACCCCCCTTCTTCATCCCAGTTAAATATCTTAATGCTACAAACTTTGGTCCTCTCTTCTCAAAGTCAGAAGATCTGTGATGCCTGCACATCAGCAGAGCTGGAACACTGTCTCCCATAGCTGGGGCTCACCTCTAGGGGCTGCACCCCGACCCAAAGAGCCAGACTGATGCTCGCT